GGAATACTGTTGCCATCGTCTTGCACCTGGAAGGCTTCGTTATCAGTGTTGTATTTCCCCCTGTTAAGAGGTGAATACGTATCACATTTAACTCAGTGTCAATAAACGTATATTTGATTCTAAACTCTGCTGATTTATTCAAACTCCAACAACCAATAAAGGAAGTAATTAATAAATTCAAATTACCAATTCTTCCTGCAGAATACAATTGCAGTCGTCACGAGCATTAGAATGCCGACGAATCCTGGAATAGAAAGCAAGACTAACATGACTTTTGGGCTCAGCAGATTACTTTTGTTTGTCGTTGCATCGCCACCTGCAAGATATATTTACAACGATAAAACCAACTAATTTTTTTGCACATCGTGATGTCCCAAAGTATTGTGTATCCTAGTTAGCACGCGCTGGGTGGTAACGTTTTTTATTTGAAACACTATCGGCATAGCATAGGCTACGATCCGACGACACTGATGGAACTCTAACAGTAGTACATTGATTCCGAACCGTTGGTCCGCGTATCGACGCCGGTCGAGCAGTTTTTGCCGGTTTGTTGTATTTTTCTACCTGCATATTAAACTTTCATTTGCTAACTATTTGGTACGCTATTTATTTTTGTCTACCATGGCACTTTACAAATATTTTGTGTCCACCTCTGGCAAAGATACCGAGCTCGATTATTTTGTTTTCTGGGAGTTACGACCGCGCATGGATCGGATAAACAGATATTGCTAATGGCACAAAGTGATGACGGGTAATCTCAAAAACAATAAACTCTAATTAATTATTGCTGAAGACTAATTTGATCTACAATTTGTTGAAATATAGGTTTAACAAATGACATAGAGTAGTGGTGGGCAAGTTTTTGATTTTTTGTCATCAATTTTTGACATCCCACCTAATTACGACAAATTCATTCACCTTTTGTCCACATTTGAGCTGTTGTTGTTTTGATGTTAGCTTTTGTTTTCGGGCTTGTAGATGTGGGAACAAAGTTGGTAGTTGTTTGTACGGTTGGAAATGAACTAGTAGATGCAGACACGGTTTGTATCTTGTGGACAATTGTTGTCACTGTAGAAAGAATTTTAGAAAACGTTTAACGCGGCGGTTCAATCAATTTCCACTCGAGTTCGCGAGATTCGCTCTTGCGCATTGCGTTGGATTTACTGTGAATATCACTTGGAAAGCTTCCATATTACCCTTAATGTGGTTCCAGATTTTTTCTAAATCGAAACATGTCATATTTGCACCAACCACTAAATTGCACTTAATATTCTGTATAAAGAGTTTACCTTATGAAATTGTTTTTTCTCAGTAATTTGTTAATTTAGAACAGAGGTGTGCACAAGTACCCGGGTGAGACCGCGGGCGACACCTTATTCAACATAAGCTTCCTAGTAGTTGCGGACAAAATTTTGAATATTGATCTTATGACATTCGCACAAGATAGCTGTTTAGGCATTGTAACGTCATAGGCCTAGATAATAAATTGGACTCAGGTATAGGCATTGCACCGCAAAGATATTGGAACCACTCGCACGTACCAGATTTAACTAAATTAAAAACTCGTTTCGCAGGCCGCACACCGTTGAAAATTGACACTTATCCGAGGACCGCACAATTTTTCCGTGCGAGCCGCATTTGGCCCGCGGGCCGCAGGTTGCATACCCCTGATTTCGAATATAGAATGATTTGTAGGTTTTATGAAATACAAAACAGCAGCAAATGGGAGCTGTGGTGAAAACATATCCAACTATTAATTCCAATTTATTTCGTATACACATACCTTCTGTACATTCTTCAAAACTATGAATAATTTTGAAACCAATCGATGCCGCAGTGTAGTTTCCAGTTGCGTTTTTGCCATCTGACATATAGCAAATCTTAACGCCCTCTTGTGGTAGGTTGGCAGTGGGACCACAGAGATTGGAGTCGAAGAATAAAATGGAATCCGATTCTTTAGAGTTTGACCAATCTATATACTTTGTGCATTTTCTTGCCTCTGAACAAACTTATAGACAATGCCAGAAAGATTTGGGTCATTTTGATACCAGATTCTTTAATTTAATTATTGCACTGCAGAGCCTTGTTCTTAGTAAGGATGTAGAAAATAAGTAACTGTTTTTGTAGTATTAGCGTACAAGCCATCCTAGTGTGTATGCTTATTTGTTGATTTTATATGTTTTATGGTGACAATCTCGGATGCGAAATACAATAAATGGCATTCAGGTGTCATATACAGCAATGTTGATGCTATTGATTTGCGTATTTTTGGAATATTACTCACCATTATTTATTGTTAAATTGTAAGATCCAGTACAATATGGATTCCCATGCTTCGAAAAATAAAGCTTCTGGTATACAATTGTCAAATTTACCATGTAGTTCTTCTCGTTGTCGGATGACACAAACTTCCAGGAACATTCAGCTTTCTTTCCTTGTTCGTCTTTATAATTTGGAGATTGAATCGCGCCTCCACCTGTGCGATTTACTGTCACTGTTCCATTACACTGACCGCAAACATAGTGAACAAATCCTGAAAAAATAAAATTTTGTTTTAAACTAAAATATTTTCAAAAATGAAATTGAAAATCGGAGAGAAGCAAGGCCCATGATCTTTGTCAACGGTTTAAAAGATTCATCAAATTCAAATGTGAGTACGACAGTGGGATCCACTATGTCTTTTCTATCAAAACACGTCGCACTGTGATTGTTACGCCTCTGATGTTTCAGGCTAGGCAGTAACAGGAATGCATTCTTCATTGCACCGCTAATGGCCTTCGCAAAATAAGCAATACTTTAGAGGGCCCTGTTATTTTGACGCACCAGCGGCAACAAATAGCAGATTGAGTATCAAATATCTTCCTTTAAAATGCATACCCAATAATTGATATTTTCGTACTTAGTATAGAATAGATAGCTATAAAATAGAAAGAATAAGGTTTGTTGCAGTTATCAGTATTCTTGATTTGCTGAGTCGTGATGCAGTACACACCCACTTACAGAAGCGCGTTTTTTGATGATGAGTTAAAATGGTTATTCATCTATCTAATTTTAAATAGATTTGGGTAAATATTTTGAAGAACTTATCTTAGCCAATACAACATTCAAGATATTCAAAATGCGAATGATACAGCAATATATATATATATATCCAATGACAATCAAAGAATTTATCGGATAAGCAAAGCTTTTTGAAATGTTTCTAACTTGAATATAACATTATTTCCTGTGAAATCGGAGAAAAAATTACTCTTATCACGAACAACTTTGGTTTCTCATTTGAATATAATCTACAAACCAGGATGATGGGGTCAGGAAGAAATTCTATTCTATTTCGACTCCGATCATTCCAAAATCCCGACTTCATCTCAGTTCAGACAATGTCTACTACAACCACCAGAAAAAATGCGATAACAGCTTTGACGTTTACTAAGCTTTCTTCGTTTTTAATAGTAGTACTTCAACGATTCAATATTCCGAATATCAACCCCAAAAATTTGACTTCTAGTCAAAAGACTAAATATGTTTGGTATACCGAATAACCTACGTATTTTGCCAATGGAGGTATACCAAGGTTCTTCAACATCACTTTTTTTTGTTGAAGTTCCATGTCACGAGTTCCTCTATTTTAATCAGTTTTCTACGATCTGAATCACCAACATACCAACCTTGCGAATAACATAGCTATATAAAAAAATAACCCAATATAGATTTGCGGCCAGAAATGATTTTTTTTTTGACTTTTTACTCTGTACAACAAAACTCTTCTATCTCATATAATATCGTGGTTGAATATTACAGTGAAAATCAATCTACTACACCTGAATTAATCCTGCTTGCATCTTAAATAAAACGAATAGTTTCTAACCTAAGATGTCAACATATCTCGATATCTCTGGGCTATGAAACTATATTAAAGACAAATGTCGGAGCTCATTTCATAGAGTATTACTCAAAATGCTACAATGTGTGTCCCAAATGTCATGAAACTGTGCAATGTTTTAACAGGAAATTCTACACAAAGTCACCCACGATCTCGCTTCCATAGCATATGTGAAGAAGTATTTAAACCTGGGCTACGCCTAAATCATACTTGATAACAATTTAAAATTTAGCAATATTGATTATTCTATAAATAAAGAGGTACTACTATCGTGCTCGGCCGATTGTTATGTGCGAGAGCATAGTTGGACGCCTCGCAGTGGTTCATGTAACCGGCGTTTTGTTACGGCTTCCGCCACCATTAAGAACCAAGCCAAACAAGTAACTGGCAAAAAACATTTATAATGAGCTAATTGAAAAGATATCAAATACTCTTGTGACAGCATCAAAATCTTAATTATATAAATTTTAATATGTATCGGGCAGCACAAGATGGATTCTCATTTCAACAACTATGGCAACGAACTACTAATTCGACGCCTGTATAAAAAAAACTTCAATTTGCGACAAATCTGACAAAGTTTTTAAACCCGAAATCAGTTCAGGAAAGGGAGCCAAAAGTAGAATTGCTCAAATATCATCTCCACGACATAAAGGCAAAAATACGAAATAATTCTTCATTATTTAAATGGTGAATGAAGTACCACTGTTTTCTTGTCGATTTGACTAAAAAGAAGACGGCTGCCGTCGGTCGGTTAGCTATGTGAACCATATATATAGCTTAATAAAGATACTGATATGCATTCAACTTTTATTCTGAATATTATAGATGAATCTGTTCAAAAGGAATATATTATTACATGACAACACTTAATCTTACACTATGGATATTTAGTAACGAATGGTGACAGTACATTTGAACCCATATCCGCGGGTTCAATCTATATGCGGGTGCTAAAACCTAAAGGTTAGGGTTAGTGTGGGTTCAAATATCCGTAAAACGAAAAAAAATTCCATAGGTGCAATTGTCGTTGGTTCAAATGTACGTGGGTTCAAATGTAAGGGAACCGTAATAAATACATGATAGCTATATATATAGAAAAAGGAATATTTGGAAATTCACTTTTCTACATTTCAAATTCTAATTTGAGTTGAAAAACTTGAAACTACTTTCTTAACGAAAAATTGAATGTATTTTTGTCATATTACAATTTGAACAAGTTTAAACTACTTGAAAATTTTAAACGAATTGGAATTGAAAAATAAACGAATGATAACAAAACCCCAAGATCTTAAATTACTTTAAAACTATTATTGGATAGTGCTATTGTAACGCAAAAGTGCTTTTGTGAAATTAGCTTATTAATCAAAAACACTAGCTAACATTTATTGAATATTCCTAATAGATATGATGGGAAGACAAATCTTGAAACAGCTACATTATCTTACACTATTGTTATAAAGTAATAAAATACATCATCGTTTCGAAGTATTAAAGAAAGTGAAAAGTGCGACTAAATAATTCATGTTACGCAAAAACAAAAGTCTTTTTCTGAATATAAAATTTTTGTTTGATTTCAAATGATATATAAACTTAAAAGTATTGCGTTATTGCATTGTAGATTTGATCGTACTAAATAAGGTAATGGCTAGTTTCGAATGAGTTGCGTATAGGAAAACTTTTCTATAGGAAAAAATTCTGTATTATAATAAACTTTTACTTCGAATATCTAAATGTATGAATCGAAAATTAAATTTTGCAGTGTTACAAAAGCAAAAGTTGAAAACAATAAGTTGATAGCAAAATCGAAAATTGAATCATATTTTTAAGTTTTTAGTGCAAAAGTCACAAAATATAAATAATATGCACAAAACTAAATTAGATAGGGTAACAGAATCCAAGAGCTTTGTTTGTGAAAATATTCCTATAATTTCATTGTAATTTGAAAAAAATATTAAATCACTCGGAAATGAATTGCTTATACTCAAAATCATTGTGCCGTGTATATAATGCCGAAGGTTATGGGTTGTCGATAAATACACTTTTAACATTTCAAATTGTTTTTTTAAAAGGAAGGCGTCGCTAGTGTGCTATTTCTGCTCAGTAAAACAAACAATGACTAGAATCTTTGAAGCGAATCTAGTGATATTCGACATCTTGTATCCGAGTAGTTTCCTTGATATGGACTTTCTCGTAGCCATCATCTAACCATTTAGTTTGTAAGTTCAGGTATCCAACAGTTGTTGATTGTACCTCTTCATACCCATCAGCTGCTTGCTTATTCTGTACGTTCTCGTATCCTACAGTTGTTGATGGCATCTCTTCATACTCATCAGCTACTTGCCTGTTCTGTACGTTCTTGTATCCTACAGTTGTTGATCGTACCACTTCATACTCATCAGCTGCTTGACTGTTCTGTACGTTCTCGTATCCAATAGTTGCTGGTTGCACCGCTTCATATTTACCAGATGGCCCAGCTTGAACTTCTTCGTAACCATCTGCACCTGAACATATATTTACAACATTTGTATCTACATGCTATTTGATGGAATCATGGAAATATCGATGCTAAATTTAGTAATAGGAATGGCTTAGGATTTCTACTGAACCAATTAAAAGCAATTATAATGTTGGCAGCTAATGGAATAAGCTGACCAACGTTGATAGTCAAAGGAGACAAAGAATCGTTGTCGTCTACCAAATGTGTAATAAGGCTTGATGTCGTGCAAATATCAAAAACACTTTTGTCATCGTATAGCTTAATAACGTCCTACTCAGATTGGAATCTCTTGTGGAGGGAGAGAGTAATTTATTATTTCGCCAACCCGAAAACAAAAAGTACTTCAATAATAAAAATATACAACAACGCTTAAGTTATTTCGTATAGCGATCATACGGCCATCAAAGTGATTGCTTTACCGTGAGTGAGTGACTGCTGGTTAGTTATGTTACACCCCCACCCTAATCCATGCATCGGAAACCGGTAACTATTCTCGAATTCAACATGGGAATCAGGCTTAAGGTACTCGACTACATGATTAAGCCATCTTGTCGGTTTTTGTCTCTCTCAGAACAAATACGAAAAATCCTATCATATTACCCGAAGTCACGTTTTGTTTTGCAGGAATAGCGTTTCTCATTTCAGTTGAGTTAGGAACTGTCCCTTGTGCTGTATCGGCATTTGCTCCGAGTTGTAAACTGTGAAAACGTGTAGAAGAGAATTAAAGATAATAATATTGAGATTTATACTTAACGCTTTTTGTAAGTGACAAATATCGCCAGTTTAAAATTTACCCAAAATGAATTATTAGATATAGGAATGAAACTTACATTTTCATGATGCCTTGTTCAAAGAAACACAATTGAACGCTAATGAGTTGTTCTGCAGCAGGCGTAGGCAAGATTTTTGGACCAGGGGCCAAACTATTAGCGGGCCATGTAAAGTGGCGTATAAAGTAACATTTTATGAACAATATTTACAGTGTTAAAAAAAGCAAAAGTGGGAAATAACAAGCCGCTTGCTAAAACTAGATTTAATGGCAATCTCGACAAATTTCTTGAGCTATTTTTTTTAGCTTAAACACCAAAATTTGGTTTCAATTTGGGTTTGGCAGCATCAGGCGGGCCAGATTGAATTACTCAACGGGTCGGATTAGTGTGGTAGCTGCCCTATAGTGTGGTAGTCCGCACGCGATAGCTTGAGGCAGATCTCACGTTACAGAGAGGTAGATCTCACGCTAAAGAATTGCAGCCGCCACGCTAACACAATAGTTAGATTTGGCTACAATTCGAATTCATGATTCTAATTATAAATAACATTCACCGTCTTTTCCTGTAGAATACAATTCCAGCAACGACCATGAGTGAAACACCGATAAGTATGAAAAGGAGAAGAAGTATTAGAGTTGTTTGACTCATTCCGCTTGGGCTTGGGGTCGTTTCAGTATTTGTGTTGACTGTTCCTGTTGAAGATGCAAACATTGAAAATTCATAAATAAAACTCTGGGCAAGTAGACACTTATAGGAATAAAAAGACATTTTGAAAAGACTAAAATCTTTTTGATTGGCAAGAATGCATTATGACCATCTGATTCGGAGCGTTGTGCAAGCAAATGAATTGGATTTGATGAAAATTCTGGTTTAGGTTAGAATAGAAGCAATGGTTAGTCTCATAAATTAAAATCCATTGCAACCGATTCAGAATGGCTATAAATTTTAAAACGAAGCGCATAGGAGCAAGAAGGAATTATGATATGTTCTTTGCTAAGACAGAATAGGCATATGAAATTTTCACGGTATATTGTAGCTGAGAAAAGATGAAAAAAAATTGGGCAAAAGATGGGGATAAGCATGGGATATGGTATTCGTGGTATGTTCTTGGCCATGGTAGATATGAAGTTATGGCATATGATAAGTAATTAGAATTCGTGGTATGTACGTAAATAAATAAGATAAATAAAAGTCAAATTGTTAGAATAAATATATCTATATTACTTTCTGTCAACTCTGTGAGTGATGTATCGGTCGTTGCTTTTGTCCACGCAGAATTGATGGATGTAGATACATTTCCCACTTCGTTTGTTATTGTTGCCACTGTAAGAACGTAATTTTTCGTGTAAAAATGAATATACCTTTGCACATTAAGAATATTCTTGATTCTGTCTGTTGCTCTTTTAGTCAGTGTGCATTCACTGTTAAACTGTTACCGTTCGACCGTGTTAAACTAATTTTAATTGAATAAATAATTTAAATAAATAAATAATATAAACGTAATATTACAACGACCATCTGATTCGGAGCGTAGTGCGAGCAAATGAATGGGATTTGATGAAACTCGGGTCTAGGTTAGAATAGATTTGATTCTTTAAGCAATTAGTTAGTCTCCTAACGTCCTAAGTGAAATCCATTGCATTGGATCAGGATATATACAAATCTTTTAAAGCGGAGGGCATTGGGGCAAGGGGGAATAATGATATGTTATGTGCTGAGATAGAATAAGCATATGAAGTAGAATTCACGGTAAATTCTAGCTGAGAAAGGTTTAAAAAAAAAATTAGGCAAAAGTTGGGGATAAGAATAGGTGAGATTCGTAGTATGTTCTGGGCCATGGTAGATATGGGGTTATGGCGAATGGCTAAAGTAACAATATGAGATTTAGTTCGTGGTAGGTTCAACATAAATAGGATATAAAAAGACTCAAATGAAAAAATTCAAATGATCCAAGTAAGCATAACTATTTAACCTTCTGACAACTCAGTGAGTGATGTATCGGTCGCTGCTTTTGTCCGCGCAAAATTGATGTATGAAGATACATTTCCCACTTCATTTTTTATTGTTGCCACTGTAAGAAAGTAATTTGATTATTTTAAAATGAATATACCTTTGCACAATAAGAATATTCGATTTGAACTTCGATTTCCCATTTTTGAAACTTCTAATAAATTATATATTTCTGATAAAATTTGTTTCATAATTGGTTCGCAGTTATTTAAGATAACAAGGAAGATTTGGAATCATAAACTTCATTTGTGAATATGTTTTGTCTCTTCTTATTGAAATGAAAAAGAGTCGATTCAATGGAAACGGATTTTACAATGCGAAGCTCGACTCAGGAATGACGGAAGCTTGACTAAAAATCACGTTTGCGAGCCTATTACAGTTTCCGCTAAAAATTTCAATTCCAACTCCCGGTCCTCAAAGGTCGAAAGCTCAGAATTTTAAAATACAATTATGGCTTCAAGTCCTGCTTCTTTATCATGTGTGCAACATTTATGAATTTGTAAACAAAAAACTTCATTTCATTGTAAAACGATTTTTACTTTGAAGAACCAGGACACGAAAGCATACCTTTAATACATTCGGTAAATTTGTATTGGATTTCGAAACCCATACTGAATTGATCCGAACTCGACAACAATCCTTTAGAATTATATCGGACTGTAACGCCAGAAGATAGTGATTGATGGGGAGATCCAGCGCCACATGAGTTAGAATCATAGAACATCAATGTAACGTATTGATTCGGGAAGCCAATGTATCTTTGGCAGTCTTGTTTTTCTATAAAAACGAGATCATGTTAGAGTCCCTGGATAGAAAATATATATAATATTTTTTTTATTAAAAATTGAAATAATTCATGGATCCCCAGAGGAAATTAACAAAGATTTGATGTCATTATACATTATGAATGACGTCATGATATAAAACGTGACGTAATAATACAACACGTAATACTGAAATTGTGATATGATGCAATGATGTGATATTATTTTACAACTTGTCAACGTACCATTGTTTATGTAAAGCGAATAATTTCCGGAACAATCTTTCCCGACATCTGATCCGACAACAAAATAGAGTCTTTGATAAACAATCGCCAGACTGAGACTGTAATCCTTTCCATCTGTCGGAGGCTGGAACTCCCACATGCATGAAGCTGATTTTCCGTATTCGTTTCGATAATTTGGAGACATAAATTTGCCGTTCCCTTCTTTTATAACCAGTGAAGTATCATTACATTGGCAGAACGCTGACTGTAGTGTTCCTGTAAAAAAAGAAAATGGATTTGGTCATATATAAAATATCGGTAAGACAATCAGAAATGTGAGGCCGCGGCGCGCCGCTTCTGGTCGAGCGACACATAATTTCACATACATACATCACATATTTGAAGTCTCTCCTGGCTGTTCAATGCTATTATACTCTATGACTAGTTTGCATTGAATCTACATTGAATGATGTTTCTATTTGGCATACCCAGGGAGGTGGTACATTGTAATGAATTATCCACAATTTTCAAACATGGACAACTGCTTATGTCCAAGCACAAGTGCATTGAATAATAAAGTATATTTGAAACTAGTTCAGTGCGATGTAGTGAATACTTGATTTAATTTTTGTTTAATAATCAGAATATGTCAGTTGGGTATTCCTGATGGTTTGACATTGCAGAGTAAAAAAATTTCAAATCTATTTTATCGATATTTAACATGATGAATTGTAATATTGATGATGGTTTAGAATAATAATTATCTTTCTGCACATGTCCTTCCATAGTCTGAAATAGTATTTTTATTCAATTTCGTTCTTATTATAATTAAGTAGGTCACAACCCATTTTATTCCCAAGTATTGGAAATTTTCGATGTTCAAACTAGCTTCCTATTTCAAACTTGGTAAGTTTGAACTTTAATGTGCTTCAGTGAATAATTGTATATATGACTTTCATTTTCCCAGCTTCGTATTTGTAATGCGTGACTACAGTATCTTGTTTAACGTTACCTTCATATTTGATAACTCCAATTTCTGTGGAATCAATATGATATTTTTAATTGCGTTCGCTGTTTTGTTCTATTTATAATTAAGCGGGTGGCCGACAAAATTCGTGACTGTATTTACCGCGTCTATGTTTCTAAGCAACCGCCCCTGGTGCCATCGAGCGATACAAAAATGACGCGAGCAATGTAGACACCTGTGTCGCGCTGCCACGGCGCATCCAGTGTAAACGCACCTTACGTGCGATTCTGCACGTGACGCACGGTTTATAATATATTCTCTCGAAATCCTACGCACGGTCGCCGTTGAAGAGAACCGTGGTTTGATCACTCAGCCGTATCACCTTCAATCATCAGCCTGGGCACGGTATATCATGAGATTTGGCGCAAAAAAACTCTCTCGAATATTTACAATATTTGGTGATTGCCAATTTCTCGTTTTACGTTGTGATGCTTTAACAAGTTAAATGGTAACAAAGATGACGAATGGACCCCCAGGTGTGGTGCAGTAGGAGGTCCGGGAGATTGAGTCAAAATATTCAGAGTTGGGTATTTTTGTATGTATTCCCGCAGTGTGTGTACCAGGGCGGGGTTAGGGCATAATTTTATTTTTCCTTATTTTAGTTCTATCACGAGTCCGGGGACTGTCTGTGTTAGCCAAGTAAAAATACCCCCTGTCCATAAGATTCAGTCCCGTTATACAACTTTGATGTAAAGTAACCGAACAAAATTAGTTACCTCCATACTGGTACACACACTTCTGAGGCGCCAATTTTTTATTATACGGCGAATTCATATATTTGATTTAAGCTCTGCATATGCAGTCATGCTACATAAAGCTACACCAATGTTTGAAATGACCAGAATATTTTCGGTTCTGAAATGGTTTTTGCGTGAAATATCAATCGAGAGGGAAGTTTTCGAATATTTTGATTTCTACTCCTCCCTACATACTGTTCATCATGTAAATAGCTAATTCACACACCTGCCAATAACACCATCAGAATACATCGCACTGTGGTCATTTGTACGCCAAAATAGCAAGCAAGATTGAATTACAATACCTAGATTCTATGATGCCGGTACAACTGGAAAATTATTGAAACGCTTGAGTTTATATATCAAATACATTCATGCGTACTGCATTGCCATCTATTCAATAGGTGGGCGGGCTCGATAAAAATAGGTCGACTATCGAAAAAAATTTTCCAGGAGACGGTGAGATTTTTTCTGGTTTTAATTTTAATAACGCTACCGGCCCAAGAATATGCTCAATTACTAAACGGCATGTAGAGCTTTTATGGCCATAAAATTAATTACTGATACGACACATTCATTGAACCACAAAATTATTTTAATTTTGCAGTAATGAAAAAACTTGTTTTCAATCAGCGATTGTTCAAAATGGTGCCGTGACTTCACTTGAGCATAGCAATATAGATGCTGCCGAGTTTTCACGCCATGACATTTCTAACATCGACAAATTATTCCAGGCAACTGTTCAACATTAAATACAAATAATATTAATCTATTTTATCCTTGTTTCGAAAAAAACGAGAGACCCAAAAGAATTTTCAGGTAACCCACACATATATTTCGTAGTATATCTCACTCGGTAGCTTCTCACAAACTTTACATAAATCTAATCAATCTAAAGTGTAACTCCGGAAACGCCGAATAAAAGGTTAGCCGTCAGCTGCAGTGCACATTACTCATTTAATGTGGTCGTCTAACTCCAGCGTATAAAACAAAAACTAATGATAAAATAAAGAAGAAATGGTTCCCTGGTTATTGCAAAATTTCAACAACGCCCTGAATCACATCGCAACTAAGGTCGTACTGTAGAATTGTAGATCATTCTGAATCATTGCTACGTTAAAAAGTCATTAGACTCTTTATTGCTATATATTGCAACCTATAGCTGTGACATACCAAACATGAACGCTGCACCGGTGATTGTTTATATATTTGTATTATATTAGTATCTCGCGCAATCTATTGTATCTAACTTCTCCGACTCATCATAATCGAATTCCGGAAGAAGATGGAAGTGAGTGGTAGGATTGAAAATATTACAACGTTCAGTTTGGCCTGTTAGAAATACTATTATGCAGAAAACTGAGAAATGCTTAATTATATATCCACGGTGGTGGCAAACTCTACTAAGAATGAACGCCATATTCGGGCACTACATTCTATAATCAATCGTCAGAAACCACATAGTGGCGCATTAACATAGCAACAGAATACAGGGCATAGCAACGGGCTTGCCAGAGCTAATTGCGTAACATATATCAGAGAGACACTTCTACCTTTGACTTTTGAAAAGGCACGGTTTACACATGACCGACCAATAAAAAAAATCTTGGCAAAATTGTAAGTTAACACATCCGCGAAAACAAGTCAGATTTAATTCCCCTTGAAATAAACCAACTCCGATTCTACGTTAAATCGATCAATTCCATATTAATAAAAAAACGATCACGGTTTAGTCTCCTGATTCCAAGACAGCCTAGGTCAGGGATGGGCAACCTTTTTCGGCTTGCGTGCCAAAATCGGCTAAGTTTAACGACATAATTGTTCCGCGTGCCGACCAAAATTAAAAATAATGCTTTGCCACTTTCAAAGCAGAGATACACAATAATATACCTTTTATGTACAGGCAGATTCACTAATCGGGAAAATATCAGTCCAACAAATAGATTTGATTACTTTTTTTATTCTATATAAGTGAGACTTCTGCTGCTTCATTACCACTGATGGAGATTTTAAATTGGTTTTATATTTTATAACTTCCAGAGAACTACACGAACTACTGATTTCATCTTTCAGACCACTCTTGTTACGAGACTCAATAAAATTTATAACTGAGAATCAAGACTCACAAGCATATGTAGATTAAAACATGGAGTTGGATAATGAAGTTGCAAAGTTTTTAAGACTCGAAACATTTTCGGGAATGGCATCCCAATCACGCAATAGTTCGTTTTCTGCACTCCTCTGCTGTGTTACCTTCCCTAATCGCTTATATTTCTTTCGAAATCAATTTATAACAGTAAGTTAACAAGTAACTCTAGCCAACATGAGCTTTACAACTTTGTAAATCAAGCATAAATGAGGAAAAAGGGTGGCACAGACGAACTATATTATTTAAGGATGTAGCAAAATTAATGCAGCGCTCTTCTCGAAAGCTCACGCATTTGTTACGTCATGGTATATTTCTTTGTAGCCATTGGTCATGATAGGACAAAAAGAGTTTATAAAAATAACGGGATGTTAACAAACCATAATGAATAAACGAAAACCGTTCTGACTTCTCATCCTTGGCAGATGCTATGATGGCCGATATTTGGAAATTTCCAATTTTATATATTTCAACGTAAGGACATAGAAGTTGTTGTGAGAACTGCAATTTAGTGTTATGTCTATAGATACAATGCATGGTCTTAGTAATGTGAGGGGGGGGGGCATATTTTTACTGCAAACTGAGTCATCACCCAACTCTAGAATGTATCTAGATCGCGGGAATCAGGAGTTTGTTCTGAATTATCCAAGAAATAGGAATCCTGCGGCAATTTTTTTTTTTAAATCAGGTGCGGATATCTGCAGTCGGAATTTATGTCACATCTAAATTTATTAAAACCTGAACCTACTTTTTCTACATACTATCCGTAATCGAAATGTAATAACACTCACCTGCAAACAGCACCAATAGCATACACTTCACTGCGGCCATTTATAGTTCAAAAGGTGTGACCAAAATTAAGTTTTGATAACTAGTTTCTTTGATGCCTGTAAAATTGCAAATTCTTTGAAACGATCAAATTCTTATTTTAAATGCATTTATTTACAGGAGTTGGATTTACTCAATAGATGGTGGGCTCAATGAGAAGAGTTCTGTGGAGAAAACGTTTTTCGGGAACAGCCTTATGCGAAATGAAATTTGCGAGCGTGCATTTTTTGTGAGCTTCCCTCTGGTTTTAACACTTTACTTTGAACAAAGCTACAGACGAACGGCCAATGATGTCCATGGAGAACTATTGGCATATTTCTGTTTTGCTATCGCCTGTCAAATTGACAGAGTGAGGTTTTGGGCAGGTGTGGGCAAGGTTTTTGTACCAAGGGCCAAAAATTGTGCCCAACTAAACTGGCGGACCATTTAAGTATGACGTAAAAATTTTGCTCATGTCAGGTGTAAGGCCTGACGGTTGTTCTTGTGATATTTCACTCTTACGCCATGCTTACTCAAGCCTAAATCTAGTTAAGAAAGAGATATTTCTATCGGGAATTAACTCAATAACCCTTCAAAAATTCTGAATACACGATGCATCTAACTTTGTCTATCATTGTTTTAGATATTATGATTTCGTCCTACTTCCTTATTGCATATCAGAGCTTGCTATTAGGGGTGAGCACATAATACAGCGCTCTGAATTACGTGTACTAATATGAAGGTAACTAATTTTGTTCGACTATTTTACATCAAGTTGTGTAAAGGGACTGAAATCTATGGGCAAGTGGATATTCACTTGACTAACACAGGCAGTCCTCGAACTCGTAATAGAGCTAAAATAAGAAAAATTGGAATGAAATTATGGCCTAATCCAAATCTGGTACACATACTGAGGGAGGACACACATTACTGCGTTTCTATTGATATACAAGGTGGGCCAAAAGTAGTGTGACATTTATTCTTAATCAATTCATTTATTAATTGTTAACCCACATTTGGCTCACCATGTACATGGTGATAACATATTTTGAACACATATATACTTTATTATAATATGCATTTACATGAAGAAAATGTTCCCAAACAATATTGATTTAAATTGCATCACTGGGAACACTATTTTGACGTCGTGTGCTCTGCACTAGCAATACGGATTTCAGATTTCCGCGGAACATTTAGTCATTTTGTATTCTAAATTCAGCAACAAATTTTACATTTAAATATTATACCGAATGTAAGAGAGCAATGAACAAACGAATAGGTACGGAGGTGCTGTTTGCTGAACTTGGAAACTTGTATTTTATGTCAGAAAAATACAGGATAAAACAGGCCTAAAAAAACTTGAAAAGTAATCGCCTTCTAGAGGATACTTACATATTTAACTACATAACATTTGGAGCTATTTTGGCGATCATTGGAGAAATGCAATTTTTGTCCGGGAAATGTTGATAAACATCAAGCAAATCCTTTGTTGTCGGTTTTATGTTTTATGAAACTCTGAAAGTCTTCCTCCAACAACCCCTTTCAAAGGCAAGAATTCACGTCCACGGTTTAGTAAGGCTAACCCAAATTTTGTACTGATCGTATTTCTGAAATGCTATTGTAAGACTAGTTGCGATGCGAAAATTAACACTTTCATGAATATAAGATATATCTTAATCATAGAACAACTTGTTCCCTTTAGCTAGCAGTTCACCACAAATCCGCCTGCAAATGACCGTATTTCAAATGTAAATAATATATGACTATAGTTTTCCAAATGCACAAATGCCTCTGGCTTTTTATCCTAAATGTATTTAAATTAGAACTAATCTATTTGCCTCATTTGTTCAAATTAGGACTATAACAAGCATCTACAGTTTTCAAATGTTGATATTCAAACCAGTCGTTCTCAAACGATGGGGCGCTCCCCACAAGAGGGGCGTAGACAATTTTTTGAAGGTACGTGAAGCTAATTAAAACTAAAAATATTTGTTAGATTTTACCTTGCCCGCCTTATTTTGAATATTTACATTTCAAAACTCATTTATTTCATTATTTACGCTTTATCCACGTATTTTCAACGTTCTTTTTGAATAAAACATACTTTCGCTTTACTATCTGTTATTTGTAGATTATTGTTGGCTAGGTATTTTTGGGATGAGGCGAGAGAACATTCCAAAACGGGGCGCGGCTTGAAAAGTTTGAGAATCCTTGATGTGCCGAGCGATGACATTCAATTTTAGAAACAGGTTATTTTTGTTTTAAACTGATTTACAACAGGTTCCATATTTTTAGAAAACAATTTCGAACTTATAGCTCTACAACTGGCATTGGCAAAGTAAGGCTCGCGGGCCAAATCTGGCCCGTTACTTAATTCAATCTGGCTCGACTGATGTTACCACAACCAAGCTAAATCAAATTTGATGTTTTAGCTAAAAAATAGCTCAAGAATTTATTGAGATTGCAATAAAATTTAGTTCGGTCACGAGACTTATCGTTTTCAACTTTTGCCTTTGTAACACTGTAAAAGTGGTATATAAAATGTAACTTTCCAGTTAGACTCACAAAACGCTGCCTACCCCTGCTCTACAACAACACATGTAATTAACACGATTAAAACAACTCAAACTATCTTATTCGCAATATATGTCACTTCCTATTTACTATAATAAAACAAATTTTACATAAATACAATGTACAACTTTAGAAATGCAAAATGAAAGGCTATCCGCCAGCTGCGGTACGCATTGCTAATTTACCGAAGTCGTCTAAAGTCTAAAATATAAAAAAAAAACGATTACAACGAAATTCCGATGACGCCCTGAATTTCATCTTTGCTATAGTTGTACTGTAGATCATTCTGAACTATTGCCACCTCAATATCAATTCAAATCATTGAACTTTTGAATGTTTTTATTAAAACGTAAAGATACGATAGACCAAGCATGATAATTGCTCATAACTTGGTATTATATCAGTAACTCCGCGTAATCGATCGTGTTTAGTCTGATCCGACTCAGTCTGATGGAGTTCCGGAATAAAGGGAAGTAGGCAACAAGAGTGATAATACTACGGTGTGGAATTAGACCTGTTTGAGTTTATTAATATGCAAAAAATAAAATTTTAAAATATATGGACATGCTGCCAAGAATATACGCCGTTTTTGAGCACTTTAAATCAATCGTCGGTAACCACTTGTTTGCGCATTTCCGTAAAAAACGGAATCCGTAGCATAGCAACGGATTTGCCGAAGTTAAATAAAATATACAGACAAGAGAGCGATGCTCTAATATGTGGACACGAGGTCAAAACGAACAGTGAAAACTTCACGACTAGCGCAAACGTAACCGCCACAATCACGCGCAGTGAATGATTGAGTTAAATTTGCGAAGATGACTGAATTTGGGGCCATCAATCGGTTTAAATGATTATCAATTCCTCGGTATATTCTACCGGAGTCGATGTAGCGCAAAATAAATATGAGATCAATTCTCATTTTGGTATCCTGGAATTTGCCGGTCGGTATCCTAATGCTTGTGGCGACTGCAATTACATTCGACAGGAAGAATACGTAATTTGAATTTACTAATGACTTCCTCTATTGGCTCCCGGAGCTCGATTTATCAAATATGCCAATGAAACGCAAGTCAGATGTAGTACCGCGGTTGACATTTGTGTACCCAACTTCATGTGTCAAAAATCTTTTTTCTCTTCAACTACTGCACAAATTGCTTGTGGCGGTTACGTTCGCATTAGTCCGTGAAGTTTGAGGTACGTTATGGCTTCGTGTCCATATATTTGAACATCGCTCTGTTGTTTTTATATTTTATTTAACTTCGGCAAATCCGTTGCTATGCTACGGATTCCGTTGTTTACGTAAATGCGCAACCAAGTGGTTGTCGACGATTGATTTGAAGTGCTCAAAAACGGCGTATATTCCTGGCACTATGTCTATGTATGTTATCATTTTTTTATTTGCATAATAACAAACTCAACAGGTCCAAATCAACGCTGTGATATTATCACTCTTAGCGCTTCCTTTACGCCCGGAACTCCATCATGGTGAGTCGGATTAGACTAAACACGATCGATTACGTGAGGTACTGATATGATACTAATATATAAGCATTCCTCATTATGACTATCATGTTTGGTCTATCGTATCTATACATTTCAATATAAAATATTTAATAGTTTAATGTATTGAGATAATATTTAGTTGGCAATGATTCAGAAAGATCTTTAGTACAGCTATACCAATAATGAGATCCCGGACGGTATTGGAATTTCGTGATAATCGTTTTTAATTTTAGACGTTTGACGACTGCAGTAAATTGGTAATGCAAACCGCTGACGGCTAGCGTTTCATTTTGCATTTCTAAAGTTATTCGTTTTATTTATGTAAAGTTTGTTTTGTTGAAGAAGCTAAAGATTGATATATAATACTAAATATGATGTTTAAGTTGTTCTTATCGTGTTACGTTCTTGAGTTGTTGTCGAGCAAGGGTAGACAAGGTTGTTGTTTTTGCCCAACTAGACAGGCGGGGCCATACAAGTTTCACTAAAAAGTTCCATTTTGTAAACAATAATTTTGTTTCTCCCGTCCCCCAGTCATGCTCCAGTGATTGGGGCTTATTGCAGGGCTCTGTGAGGTCTTATTGAGCATCTAAAGCAGAGGTCGGGAACCCATGGCTCGCGAGAGCTATATATGATTCTTTTGGTGACAGCATATGGCTCCCAGAAAAATCTAGTATTCTAAGGCTAAGCTTACTATTGTTACCAGATTTCAAACTCTTTTTATGACCAAATTTGCCAATACGGTTGCGTGCCCAGCGTTGTCTATGTTACCTATGAGAATTACCAGACATTGCGACAAAACTAGGGAATTCTGAAACATATTTGGTGACATCACAAGGCGATATAGTCGCAGAGCAATAGAATAAAGCTTTTCGTTCGTTTGTACGTACTAGTTACAGTATTTGTCACATTTAAAGCGGACTAGCAAATCTAGTTTTCAAGATACTACGGAGATGCCTAAACGAAATAAGGGTGATGAGTATGGTAGATTTTAACAAACGGCTGAATGTGAGCGACAACATGCAGTATCAGATGTCACATTAAATGTATATTGACATTGTGTGTGTTGACTTTTGATTAAAAATTCCAGGCCTGATTAAGTGCAGAAATGCTATATGGCTCGCACGGAAATGAAGTTGAAAATATGTACCCTTTATGGCTCTTGACCAAAAAGGTTCCCGATCCCTGATCTAAAGACATGGGCATGACTAGAAAGAATAATAATTTAAGGCCTTAAATCGAGAATGGTAATAGATAGAGATGCCATATTTGGGTTATACAAGGTAACTGTTTATGACAAAAAATTGTCGTCACGGTTGAGTGACCAGGCGGCCCAGATTGAATTAAGCAATGGGCCGGATTTGGCTCGCGGGCCGTACTTTGCCCATGCCAGTTGTAGAGATAAAAGTTAGGTGTAGTTTTATTTAAATTATGGAACATGTTAATCAGTTTAATACACAAAGAACCTGTTCCTAAAATTTAATATCCTCGCTACGCTGACAGTTTATATCAGACTATAAATGGACTCCGTGAAGTGTATGTTAAGTAAACTACACATGAATGCATTTAAAATATAAATTCAATCGTTTATTCTATAGCTATTTATTCTAAGATCATTCGCTTTATTTCATTATTTCTTTGATTTGATTGTTCTAAAATGAAACCCAACTTTGGTTTTGGCCCTGAAGTACTCGGCACAATTTGAAATGGTCATATAGAAGAGATTGAATAATCATCTCAAAATGGAATATAAAGAATTATATTTGAATCACGTATCAGTCACGTATTTAAAAATGTGTCGAATTTAGTTGAATCACGCGGCTTATGAGACTGGAATTCAAGTTTTATATATATCCGACTTCTTGCTCCTAAGTTGTTGCCCTTATTTGCACTTTCTCGTATTGCTGGTTGTATATTTTCATATCCGATAGATTGCCCAGCTTGAAATGTTTCATAGCCATCAGCACCTGAATAAGTTCCGAATCTAATTTCGGAATTTATAGTCTATGTTGTAGAATTCAATTCAGGTATGTTTGGGGGATGGTAAAATATTTTAACAAGTACATATCAGATGATTAAAAATTAATTACGAGTGTTAACAAGGCAAAAGTAGTCATTTACAAACGATTGACTAAGTAGGTTGCAAGAAATTGAAAGCTGATGCTTGGCTATCTGTTCGATTAACTCATTTATCGCTTCCACATTTTTTATCTCACACCACTGGGAAAGATAAAATATTACAATGACATATCGAATAAGTTAATTCACTCCATCTTGACGCATTCACATATATGCAGACATGTTGTGACAAAACAACTGCAGATTCAATATGCACTGGCTGTTAAATGTATGCACACAACAACCAAGAAGGAAAATATTTTCATAATCTGCTTTAGATTCCGATCCCACTTAACTCAGTGATATTTTACGATAAATTCAAGCTTGGTTTGAAG